GCAAGAGACTCAACAATGTCGACTAGCACTTACTGTTACACTTAGCCTCGCTGTATATCCGGTGTTTGATTAACCCCGCGCACTTACAGGAAGTACATTGTTATGAGGTGTACAGTACAACTCCAGACTTGCACGGGGTTATAAGCATGCAGCCACCTGGTGTGTACTCTCCACTTGTCTCTGCCGTGCGCACCGGCACGTAAACCTCAGAGAGGCGCGGCGTACAGTACGTCCAACGCCCCCGGGACACCCGGCGTGGCGGCTGTGATTAAACCCTTTTTCTGGCCGCACGCGTTTTTGGCGCAGAGGGATGGGGGGGGGGATGAGGTACCCGCCAGGTCTGACGTCGGCCGTTTATCTCTGGGAAGTTACAGCTGCAGTTAGGCGTAGAGGGCGCGTCCCTTCACGCTCCGCTACGCCAGCCCCCGGACAGCCCTAGCCTCTCCACGCTCCTCCACGGGCCTGGCCACTACTCCATTCTCTGCTGCCCCCGCAGTCCCACGGTGACCACGAAGCGCCGGGCCAAGCGCACTGTCTGGGGGGGGGGGGATGTGTAGGTGATGGTGATGGTCGGGAGAATGTGTATCTTGGAGCGTCACTACGCTTGAGCAGAGCACGGACTCAGACTCACCCCACGCCCCGCCCCAGGAGGCCACAAGCCTGCCCTGACGCGGCCGTCAGCGAGTCGCAGCGGGGCGTCTCGTGGCCGCGACTGGTGTCTCTACGCTCGGCGCGCCACGGCGAGAGAGACGTCCTCCTCGTACCGAGTGGTCGGCCGGTATCTTACGTATCTTATCATCTTCGGGTGTGCACTGCTCCCCCCCCCCCCCACTCTCCCTTCTCCTCACTGATCAGCTCGTGCATTTGACTGCCTCTTGCACTTTGCTTCGGTGTCTGAATGGTCGAGCAGGGCGGCTCGGCGGGGCGGGAGGGAAGTCCAGACTTCACCGGCGGGCGAGCGGGACGTGGACGGGGTGGGGCGAGGGTGGCCGGCGGACCGGTGGTGTCTGCTTCTCTGCTGTGGACACAAACAAACCGGGTCCAGACCGGACGGCTGGTCGGGCGGGCCGGGCCGGAGGAGCAAGGGCCGGCCGCTGACGCTGGCAGCCTGCTGGCGGCTGGCGGCACGGCGGAGGCACTCCCCGCCCGCCTGCTCCGCCCCGTCGGCCCCGCCACGCTGCGCCCGGCCTCACGTCGCACAGCTACGCGTCGCGTCCGCCAGTCGTGCGAGTGCGGGCGAGTAGCTCGGAGCGTCAGGCCGGTGCCTGCCCTGGCGGAGCGGTCTGCTCGTGTCCGGAACGGAAGTTTGAAGTTGTCGACCCGTTTTTTTTCGGCCGCTGAACGCCTCCTGAGCATACGCCCACGGCCCGCGGCTGGACAACTGGCAACATGCGCAAGTCTGGCGGCCGCTGCCGCTCGGACGCGCGGGCCGCGTCCTGCCTGCACTGCAGCCCCTTCGCGTTCGTGTCCAGCTGACGCCGGCCCCGAGGGCCTGGCTGCCGGGCCTAGCAGGACCCCGCTTCCGCAATATATTTCGAACACCACTCTGTAACATGTGCGGTGCTTTCTGTGGGACGAAAGGGCTCGCCGTCGACAGCCTGGTTAGGATATTGTGACGTGAGAAGTGTCTCGAAGTGACAGTGCTTGTGATTTCCGCACAATACGCCATACCGGTGGGTGTTTTGCATTCGTGGCGTTAACTTATCGGCCGCTACTTGCCCGCCGTTTTCTGTGAACTCCGAGGACTTCTTCAGCGCTAGTGAACGACTTCGCACCGACTCCGTCCGCACCGCAAGGACTCCGCCGGCCCGGTGTGCCCCCCTCCCTCCCCACTTTCTCCCCCTCCCGCGGAGACAATGATGAACAAGTCCGGCTACGAGCCCCACGTCCACCCTCGGCGCGAGTCGATGGGCCCCATGGGGGGCATGGGGGTCCGCGCGCACGTCCGCGAGGTGCTGGGCATGCGCCGCTCCTCCGCGCTGCTGCTGCTCTTCCTGTTCTTCTACCTCGGCTACCTGGTCGCCGGCGGACTGGTGTTCGCCACCATCGAGGCCCCCGCCGAGGCCCAGCTGAAGGGCGCCCTGGTCCGCGCGCGACAGGCGTTCCTGGAGAAGCACCCCTGCGTGTCAGGTCGGTACAGTGCCGCTGTCCCTTTAGCTAGCTCACTGGTGTGAAGTGTGAGGGGTGTGTGTGTCCTGTGCGTGTGTGCGGGGTTTTGCGCTTTTTTCTTTTTTCTGCTGTGTGCTCTGGCCTTTCTTGCGCCTTGTGGCCCCGGGTGTATAGGCAACGCGACCGCACGCCTGCATGCGGTACGGTGTAACTACGACAAGAAGGGGCAGTCACCTGAACGGTTGTACCTCCGTAACATTATTTTTCATTATATTTCTGAGAAAAGTAACGTGCCCTCTCCTCGCACACCACGTGGTTTTGTGCGAACAATTCTGGACGTGTTTGGCGCGTGCGCGGGCGCGTTGTTTACATATCTGTGCTTGCAATTTATTTGCGTAACGCACGCACACAAACAAACAAACAAACAACCTCGTTACTGATACATGCACACACGCACATGCATACACAGACCGACACCCACGGTCACACAAACAGGGAGACGGGCCGGGCACAGGCTGCTGGATGAGTAGGGTGGCCTGTCACTTTCCCCTCCTTCGGCTACTCTTGTCGTCTCATAAGCAGTATTGTAGAACTTTTGACTTTGCCTCGGGGGCCAGCGCACTCCATTCGCTGTGGCCGTTTTGGTTGCTAAAATTGTCGTACTCCTTTACGACTGCAAAATGTTGGCATTCTTTTAGAGACTGCCATGTTTTGGCTATTGTATAGTGCCCAAATTTGTCGCCCCCTGAAAAATGCCTAAATCTGGCATTCAGGGAGGCTTAGACAAGGCCAAAAGCTGGCCGTCTCTAAAACAATTCCAAAATTCTGGCAAGCAAAGCGGCCACGACGTAAATTTTGTAAGATAGCATATTTTGGAAAGTACGGAAGCCTTCAATATGGAGTGCTGAATACAATCAAACCTAATAATGATTCTCCGGTGTAAAGGGCCAGGAGGCAGAGAACAAGGGAACAGGCGAAGATGGAACCCAGAGAAAAAGAACGAAGGGAAATAAGGACAATCATCTGCTCCCGCAGCACCTCCCTCCCCAGCTGGCGGGATTCAGAGAGGAGAAATGATTATTCCCGTCACACCGACCAATTCACGCAGCCGCCCCGTTCGGATTGCTCCCTACAGCCGCGAAATACAAGGTTTGTGTGAGGAGGAGGGCGAGGGGGGGGGGCTGTTGGAAGACCCGTGTAAGTGCGACAGAGACGCGCGTGCGACCTACGCCTGCCTACGGTGTGCTTCGAGTCCTTTTTGAGCGTTTCTCTCTCTCCCTCTACCCCACTCTTTCTGCCTCTGTCTCTCTCCCTCTCCCCCACTCGCTCTGTCTGTCTCTCTCTCTCTCGCTGTCTCCTGGCTCGGGTCCCATTCCAGCGCTACGCGGCGCCACGACGACTCAGCGCCCATGGCAATGAGAGGCGCGGCGACTTGACTTTGATTGCGGGCCGTGGCAAAGGGAAGGGAAGAGGTGGGGTGTGGGGAGGACGGGGGCTGGTAATCTGGTGAGAGACGGGAGACAGACGCCTTCGACGACGTGCTCGTGAAATCTCCCTCCGCACGAGAGGTGACGATCCGCGTCGAAGATCGAGGGTCCTGCGAGCTGCGGGTGCTATTGCGATACAAGTGTGTGTGTGTGTGTGCTGTGCATGATGTGTGTGCGCGCCGGCCGAGCCCCCGGCTGCGGCCATGGGCCAAGTGTTATCTCTGTGACGAGCCCCGGGGCCCCGGGCAGCCTGCGCGGAGGCGTATAGCGGTGCGGTGATTGTCGGGGACCCCAGAGAGAAGAAATTTCCGCGGGGTTCGAGATGC